GGTTGTCATCATTGCGGACGTCATCCTTGTCGTAGTCATCCCCATAATCCTTGTTGGTTTGTTGTTACTAAAATAAACACTCTCAGAATCTTTTATTTTACTCTTCAGACCTACAGGAATCTTTAGTTTTGTCTCACGCAACTCATGTCATTCCAGATCCAGGAAAGTTGAGTGTTTGGTGTTTTTTTTTGTACTAAAAATCCCAAGATTCTCTTAGCAGGCATGGCTCAAAGGCTCCAGCTTAAAGGTCCATGTGGCCTTGTGGAACCTGGGAGTTGTAGTCCAAAAAAAAGGAACTTTCCCACCATTTGCTGGAGGCTCAGCGAGCATTCTCTGCCGGCCATGGTCCCTGCGGAAGGGGGCACAGCTTGGGGGCGAGGGGTGAGGACGTGACTCCTAGGCAGCTGGCTCCAGCTTCCAGTCTCAAGTCAGCCACTCTACGTAGGACTGAGAAGAGGCCACCTAAAGCCAGAGAGAGAGAGAGACGGCAACCCGTTTGTGCAACAACAAAGAAGGTTAGGGAAATGGTCAGGATAAGACTTCTATTGTGCCACTACTGGCAGACCGGCCCTGCCTGGAATTCTACCGCAGCGATTGTTCCCCCCTCCACCAGAAGCGATAAGGACTAGCAAATCCCTAGAAGACAAGATAGGCTGGAAGAAGCCATGATGCTGGGACCCACCCTTGGAGGCAGCAGGGAAAGAGGGAGACTTTGCAAGAGATGGAGTGACTCTGTCAAGGAAGCCACAGCCTTGATTCTGCAAGACCTGGACGACAGGGTTCTTTTGGAGGTTGCGCGTGCCAGAAGTTCTGGAGGCGACTCGAGGGCAAGCTGCAGGAACATTGCATTCCACAAATGGCCACATGGGGGCAGCAGAGGGCAATCATGTCCCCAGCCTGCCTGTCATGACAGACCGAGACCACAGAGAGGCAGCACAGAGTAGCCGTAGCCTCTAGTTAACAGGGGGTGTTGTTGTGGTTGTTGTTGTTAGGGTCTCAGTTGCAAAAGAGGGCAGCAAAGAGTGGCAGGGACAAGGCCGTGGCCTATTCCAATAAACCTAGGTAAAGGTTCCCCTTGACATTTAGTCCAGTCGTGTCCGACTCCGCGGCGCGGTGCTCATCCCCGTCTCCAAGCCATAAAGCCAGCGTTTTGTCCGTAGACAGTTTTCCGTGGTCATGTGGCCAGCACAACTAGACACGGCACGCCATGACATTCCCACAAAGGTGGTCCCTATTTATCTACTCACATGTTTACATGCTTTCAAACGGCTAGGTTGGCAGGAGCTGGGACAAGCAACGGGAGCTCCCTCCGTCGCGTGGATTCGATCTTACGACGGGTGGTCTTCCGACCTTGCAGCACGGGGGCTTCTGCAGTTTAATCGGCAGAGCCACCACGACCCTTCTGATCAACCTATCTTCCCATTTTTCTTGCAGCCACAAGCAATGACGTTCTGCAGCTCCACCCGGCAGGCTGCCCCTCCGAGTGGCCGCACGTTCCGGGTGAAAAGGGCCCCACTTGTAACAAAGGGAATGCAAAATTTTCAGCAGACCCCTGGCTCCGGACGTGTTCGTGTGTGGTCTACCACAAAAGAGAACATTATCCACCAGCCGGTAATTTTTTAAAAATTCTGTTCCGGTGGGGACCTCACTTTCCTCTTCAGCTCACTTAAGGTGCCAGCTGGGGTTTTTAGGGCACAGAAGCCGCTCCTTTGCCCAAGGGGGCGAAGGAGTTTGAGCTTGGGTTCCTTGTTCCTCCCTCCCCTGCCTCGGCCACCCTCCTCACCGCTTGGCATCGGAGAGGTCGATGTTGGTCCCAAACTTGATGATCTGGTGGGGCTTCTGGTCGGGATTGCTGCGAGGAAGAGAAAGGAGAATGTGAGCATCATGGACGGGGCACAGAGCGAGAGCGAGAGCGAGAGCGAGAGCAGGGCGTCTCCATGTCGTTTTCCCAGGGTGACCCTGGCACAACAACGTCCTCCTCTCTGGAAGCCTTCCGGTACACTGCACAACAAAGCCCATCCTCCCCAGCCACCGTGGGAATTGTAATCTGACCCACCACCCCTTGCAGGGTGTGGCCGGAACCTGCTCCGGGGTCTCTCCCCTCCGATGCCTTAGGGCTCTACCATTGTTCCCCATTTTACCACAGCCGCCCCCTGGGAGGGGCACAGTCCAATTTTACCCCTCCCTCCCTCCCTGTATTTTTTGCTGATTTTAACATTTACAATTTGCTGTTCGGCAAAAGCTTCCAAGGCAGAGTAAAACTAATAATTTGCTTGTTGGTCTCTCTTATTTATCGACCGCCTTTTTTCCCTGGCCAAGCCATCGTCTCCACACCTTGGTTCCCCGGAGGGTCTTGAACTACAACTCCCAGAAGCCTTCGTCGCCACCGGCGCCGGCTGAGATTTCTAGCAGCCGTAGTCCAAGAACACCTGGGGGGGGGTGACCCAAGGGTGGCAACCCCTGTTTTAAGGGGACTCTGGACAGCTCACGATACTAAAAAGAGCAGGATTTAAAAGACAATAAGTTACACATTATGAAAAATACAGAAGGAATCCAAATTTTATTATTATTATTTTTAAGGGATATTCCCAAAATAGCAAAGCAGAGGTAAAAGAGCGAGGTCCGGAAAAGACTACCTGGGCGGCGTCTCGGTGGTGCTGTCGGGCTCCTCGGCTTCCTCGTCGTCTGTCTCCTTATCTTCCTGGCTCGGGAGAAAGGGCAAGTCAGGAGGGGGGGGACAGACGTTCCTCATCCTCCCCTAACCCTACCCCCCCCTTTCGCAGGGGCGGTGGCGGATCCCCTGTCCTACAGACAGCATCCGAAGGAAGAGGAGGCAGAGGAGGATAGGGTGGGTTTCGAACTCCTCACCTGAAGCGACTCTTGGAAGGAAGCCGCCTGGTACTGGGCGTACTTGGCGATGGTGGTGTGGGACCGGCTGCTCTCGCACGGCCACACCTGCTTCGTCCCCGACGGATCCCAGTTCTCGTCCGACGGCTGCTGCACCTGCGTGCGGACTTCTACGGCGTGCTCCCCGCTCGCTTCCACAAGGGTCTTCGTGCTAAAGAGGCCCAGATCTGAGGGAAAGAGGAAGGGAGGAGGGTGTCATGGCACGAAGCTGAGAGGTGGCCGGGAGCCCCACCGCCCCCCCCAAAAAACCCCAAACCCACGTTTGCCAAAGGGGCAGAGGCTCCTTTGCACACGAGGAGGACTCCAGACTTCCAGCCTAGCCTTTCCACGGGTTTTGGAGACTAGAGCCTCTGTGAATGCATCCTAAAACCACATTGGCCTCTTTTGCTGCTGCATCGCACTGCGGGCTCTATGATGATTCTAGGATGCTATGAAATGAGTCCCCAAAGATGCCAACGGGGCCCTCCAACGTGTGTAGGGGTACGATGGATCACCTCAATATGGCCCCGGCCTCACCCCAATACTATTCCAAACCTTACAGATCCTTTTAGAAAGAGAGCCGAAGTGGCCGGCCAAAAGACTTAGTCCTTCAGACCCACCGCGGACCCCTCCCCACTTCGTTTTGCCCGGTCCACAAACATCGCGGAGCTGCTCGGTGCATCCCCGAGGTGCAGGACCCCTCCTCCAATGAACTATTTCCCCCTCCTGCCGGCCACTGCTCTCCTGAAAGGCTTAGCCAAGCCTGAAGCCTCTGGGGCCGCTCCTCCACCCATCCACCCACCCACCCCCAACGAGGCCGCACAGCCCCTCTGCTCCAGGTATCTCCCTCCCCTCGAAAGCCATGTCATCTCCAATCCACACCGCTGTCCAAAGACACCCCAGCCCCACCTCCGGAAGGACGCAACCCGAGACCTCCACACACGCACACATACATACACACACACACACACACACGGCCCCACACTCACTGAGGCGAAGGGATCCGGCCAGTCCTCGGATGACGGTGATGGGATTCTTGGGGTCGGTGCAGAACTGCAGCAGGACGGGGGAAAAGGCGTCCCGCTTGCTCTCCAGCTGAAGAAAAGGGAACGGCAATTAGAGGCCCAGATGCCAGCCTGGCACCCACCCACCCACGCACCCCAATCCCATAACAAGAACAACAGGGCTCTAAGACTCAGAGAAACGGCCACCCTAAGAGCATCGCATCTACCAGTTTGGACCGAGGGTCCACTCCAGCAAAACCCCTCGTTTAAAGCCACCGGCTTAATGAAGCCCAAGTCTTCCCTGACAGGGAGGGAGTGGGACCAGCGAGCCTAGTATCCCCTGCTCAGTCACGACAGCCCCCAGTTCAGATCCACACCCCTCCTCCTCATCACCACGAGAGATCTTGCCACCAATCTCCCCACTTGCCCCCACCCCACCCCGAGTGCCTTGACAGTCTTTCCGAAGACCATTTGGCTCTCTTTTCTCTTGAGGAGGCGAAGAGAACTTGGCTGCATCTCTTAAGTGCCCGCAGGGAAGACACACGGAGCAAGCAGAGTGCGGAGGACGAGCTGTCCTATTAATTTTTTTCCCTCTTCCACGGTGGTGCTCCAAATGGGTCAAACAACGAAGCTTGCAAGAGAAAAATCTTGGGTGGGCCAGCCGGGTAGGGTTGGAGCAAAGCATGTAAGACGTTCCGGAAACAAGCAAATCAGCAAACCGTCCAGCTCCAGGGAGAGGGGGGAAAAATGAAACGGAAAAATCTGGATTTGCAAAAAAGAAGCGCTGCTGGCCATCCTTATGCGGGAAGCAGGCGGGAGGTTTACTTGGAGAAACTGAGCAAAGGGACGTCAAGGAAGTTCCAAATGACCAAAACATCCAGAATATCCAAGGAAGAAAAGGGGCAGGACCCCCAAAAAAGCAAAAGCCTTCTACTTTCTACAAAGTTTGATAAGAAGCCAAATCATGACGCTTAGAGGGAGAGAAATGGAGGCGGACAAGTCTTCTCCGTAAGAAGGCGAGGAGATACAGGGCTTAGGAGCACTGGCAGTCACCAAACGGCACGGGGAAACAGAAAAGATGCTGGAGAGGGATTAAAAGGTCCGGCGTCGATCAAAAAGTCTTCTCGGAGGAGTGTCATTCCTGATCCCAGGAAGGAAAAAAGCAAAGCGATCCGCAGATCCCAGCTGAGCTGTGTTCGTGGGGCGGGGGTCCTTCCGTTTTGCTGTGAATCCCCCGGTGCTTAGAGGCCTACTCTCTGAAGCAGAGGGTCCCAATCTTCTGGGGTGCTGCACTGTGCTAAGAGCAGTCAGAAGGCCGTTAAATTAACGGTGCAACTAAGTCAGGGACGGAGGGAAGGTGACTCGGGGGGGGCACATACTCCCAAACACAACTGACATGGATCATCCAAAAAGAAAAAAAGAAAGGAAGAAAGAAAGAGGAGGAGGAGGAGGAGAAAACAGTTGAAGAGTGAACTGAGAGGAGAAAGAGAAGAAACCGGTTGTCTTATTGTTCCACACCCGCACAAGCAACGTGGAGAAATGCACAAAAATCTCACGAGGAGACAGCAGGAACTGGCTGCCGTCTAACCAAGATAAAAAAAATCTTCTGCCATAGTGAAACACTTACACGCCCGGCAGACTCTCGTCCCAGAGCATAAAGGAACGGCAGGACGTGGCCTACCCCTTGGTTTTATGGGGCTTGGAGCAGCATTTGAACTCAAGAGCCTCCCGGTTAAGTTGCAAGGTGACTAACTCAAGAAGGGACCTGTCAAGAGACCACCGCTTTTCTGTCACCAGTTTTCCTTGAAGACAACCGCGCCGGGGGGGGGGGGGAATCAAGACGAGCTGCTGCCGATTGCAGAGAGCTCCTGACGAAAAGAACCGTTTTCGGTGTTTGCCTAAAAGAGCTAAGAGCAAACGTAGGGGACGGGAAGCTGTGGATGGGCGGGGAAAAAAATCCGAATTGCTGTACCAAACGGGGAAGTCATCCGAGGTTTGGACACGAGGAATCCACCATTTGAAACGCTGAGAGAGCAGCCCAGCTTTGCAGGCAGAGCAAGAGGAGGCACCCACCCCCATAAAGGAGAAAAAGAAAGAAAAACAAGTGATGATGAACTAAAGATCTAAGGATCCAAGCAGGACTTTTTATTGCAAGGAGCAGAGAAAGCAGGGCGTCCCAATAGGGTAAGAAACAGACAGGTGAGCCTATGTTTTTCTTCACGAGAAGAAGCCAGCGAAGGGGTAGAGGAAATGGAGCTGGCCTCAAGGCAGGATTTGGGAGTCTAACAAAGAAAATAACGGGCTGGCTGGCAAACACAACGGTAGGAGGCTGCCTTTCAGAGTCCAGAAGGAACCAGAGGGGAAAAAACATCCAGTCTTTTGGTATTCCGGGGGACAAAACGAAGTCCCAGAAGAAAGTGGAAGGCCGTCAGCCCAAACGGGGTCAGCCTGACGCTGGCGAGGATTAACGCAGAGCAAAAGGCAATAATAATGGCGGTGGGAGAGGACAATAGGCGGGAGATGATCCAGCCTCTTCTTCTTTGAGCCCCTGCTTCGTTTAGGAAATCCAGCATCGCCGCTCTGACAACAGGAATCGGCCCAACCTAAGCTCCCAGTTCCCCTACAGAACTGGTCCCATTGCTAAACCAGTCTCGCCACCAAGCCACTCTTCTCTGCTTACAGTCGACATCCACCCTCCTGGATCTCAAGCCCACCAAATAAAGAACCCCCTTGCCAATTTGGTTAAGAATCCTGTCCATCTCCCCACCCTCAGTCTTTTTTTTTGGGGGGGGGAGAGCTGGACCACTATCATGGAGAGAAATTGTGAGACCCTTAAGGTTTCTAAAACCTTGACTCCAACACCGAACCAAGGGCTAGCTCAGGAAAGAGGAAGCCCCATCCCACTTAAGCTCGGGAAGAGGATGCAAGAAATGTTTGAAGCACAAATTGAAACAAGAAAGTGGTGTAAAGCTCTTTTAAGATTTTTCTCAACAACGGCTTCCATCGTGCATGAAAAGAGACAGCCGTTGAGGGTCTTCGGCAGCATCTAAGAGGAAAGCCAAAGAGCCGGAAGAGATAAAGGTAAGATGTCTTTCAGAGGGTAGGGGAAAGAAGCAAGCAAAGCCATCCCTTCTGGACACAGAGATTTAAGCTGCTAGTCCTCTTTGTGCAATAGGCCATCTCAAAAGGGAACAATCAAAGCAGCAGAAAAGCCGAAGAGGGAAGCGAGATTACGAAATGTTCACAGGTGGATCCCACCTTTCTTGGGCTCAAAGGAAAGATTACACGGAGAAGGTATTTATGAAACAGAAAAAATATGCACGGCTGTCTTCCCTGCCTGGTTTTGGACAGCAATGATCACAGGAGCCTCAAAGAGAGAAGTTTGTGGGAAGAGATGATTTTTTTAAAAAAATGATGCCTTTCATCTAGAGAAAAGGATCTTTGGGAGGAGGAAAGAAGAAAGGAACTAGAGATAGAAAATGGAAGAGAAAACATAAGGTGACATAAAAATGGGGATGGCAGGTTGCAACCATTCAGAGAAAGAAGAGGAGGTGGGGAACAGTGATCAACCAAGTTGGTTCCTTCTGAGTGTACCAGCAAACCACAATGCATGCCTTTCCCCGCGCGTCCCCGCCCCCCAGTGAGTTTTCACGCTGCTCTAACATTCTGCCAATCCTTATTAAACCCAACGTGCCAGGCGGCCCATGGGGTCCAGCAGCTGCAACTGATCTGGCACGCACAGGGCCAACAGTTTGGGAATGTTGCATTTCTTGGACTACAGTTCCCAGAATCCCCAGCCACCATGGCTTGGGATTAGGCATGGTCCTTCCGGGTTTTTTGGGGGGGCTGTATTCCCCTCACACACACACACAAACACCGAATTCCCTCTGCTGGAATTCTGGATATTGCTGACCAAAAAAAAAAAGAATAACTTCACAAAAGAGTTTTCAAAGTTTTCCTTACTTCCATGTAGGCCTTGGTAAGAGCCCAGGACCAGGGTCATTTGCACCCAAAGAAGGATGAAATGGCTGGAGGCGGCTAAACTCCACATGAGCTACAAAGCGATTATGGTGCTGCGGTTTTATGAGCATCTCCGGACGTCAGACTATAAGGATGGCTCTCAAAAAACAATAAATCTCATCATCCCTCATGACTCCTATGGAGTTTAGCCTCTCCCAGCCATTTCCCCCACCCCACTTGTTAGCAATATGTTGCTGAATGAAATGAAAAGTAGTTTGTGAACCCGGTTTTATTTTTCTGGCAGCAGTTTTCAGAATTCTGACTTTGCAGAGAATTCTGGGGCTGCAGTGCAAACACACACACATACACACCCCGGGAGGTACCATGCCCAGCAAGGATGCTGGGCCCCGTGGTACACACAAATGCAACTTTCCCAACAGCCTCTGTATTTGTTGCCGGTGCCAAGGACCTCTAGAAGGATCCGTTCCGCAGGCCTGATCCAACGGGATGATCCAGATGCACCTCTGATCTAGAGTGGATCCCGTTTGACATACAAGGCTTTTCACCGCCTTGTTCTGGCTTCTGAAATTCCAGCCAGTCACAACCCACCAACAATTTTAAAAAGCCATCTCTGCAGCCATGAATTTTTGCTGCCGCCCCTGCTATGTTGAATGTGAAATCTTGTCCTTGTCATTGTGAACCCCTGCAAGCACACACACCAGTATCAGAAGATCCCACAAGGTCCCACCTATCCAAATTTACTCCCCTCTTCCCATCTTTCACGGCAACCCCATTCTTCCCCCCCACCCATCGCTCCCACGGAACAGGCACTCACATAGATGCTTGGGGTCGGGGGACTGAGTTTGTCCCGCGGGAGCTTTTCCTCCACGTTGATCTGAGGTTTGACAGAATGGCTGGGCAACAGGTACGATTCTTTGAATTTTCCTTTCACCTTGGCGTGCCTGGAACAAGCAGAAGGGGAAGAGGTCACGGACAGACGACCACACACTTCCAGGGGATTCAAGGCCCTTTCCCCGTAACCGGTGGCCATAGCTCCTTCCAACGTTGACACTCAGGACATAGATTTCCCCAGCTCAACACTCGTCCTCCTCCTCCGTGCGGGATCCCATCGCTGGCACCCGAAAGCCTCGTCTTCAGGGCAGCCCCTCCGCTTATTCCAACCCATGGCTCGAGAAAGGCCACCCACCCTGTGCAAAGCAACTGCACGCCCTCTGGGGAATTATGGGACATGTAGTCTTGAAAAGCAACGGTCCCCAGCTCAGCTTCAAAGCTTTTGTTTTTGCTCCTGTATCAACAACATTATCGGGATTGACCCTTGTTCTCAAATCAGCCGGAACATTTTGCAATGACCCACCGCACGCAACCCCCCCTCCCTTTTGTGAGGGTCGTGCGCGCGCTGCTGGAGGTTTGAAATTTTAAAAAGGCAAAAGACGGGACGCCTGAATGGTCCAGGACCAGAAGCCGTTTGAGTTTTACCCACTGATGAATTTAATTTACTATAGTTGTTTTTTTTAATCCTTTGCTCTGTTGTTTATTTTATGATGTTGTAGACATTTATCTTGTGGGTGTTTTACACCCTTATTAATGGTGTCTTGTCCTCTGCTGGTATATTTTGAATATCTTTGAATATTAATAATAATAATAACTAAGTTTTCCGAGAAAGACAGCCCAGCCCAGAAGAAGTGGCTTTGTCCTCCATGTCACAAAGCAGCCTCTTGGGATCAGCCTTTCTCCCCCTCCTCTCGTTGCTACATCTTCTCCTGTGTGGTTCTCTGTGCCACAAACACACAAACGCGCATGCACAAGGACACCCACAAGCCCTGTTTAAACATCACGCAACAGGTCAGCAGGCCCATTAACAAAACCCAAGCCTGCCCCGTCTCTCTCTCCCCACCCATCTCTAGAACAGATAGAATCTGAGACCTGATTACAAAAGCTAAAAAAAGGGGGGGGGATGATAGAGGGATGTGCTTTCCGTTCTGCCACCCATGCTGGAAAAGAGCCTGCCTAGGAAAATGTGGGAGGGCAGCAGAGACTCAGACGAGGGGGTTCGGGTCTGGGGGGGGGGGTTGACTGGCTTTTGCTCTTAATTTGTCCCCTTTACACTTTAATTTTCTACCCAATCCTTGCTTTCAGTGAGATCAGGGCACATCTCGGTTGAAATGAACACATCCACAAAGAGTGTGTCTTAAGAGGTGGGAACTGTATCACCCCAAAACTGTTTTTAATACACACACACACCAGACCCCTCTGACACGTTTTGTGATGGACTCCTCATACACACATTCCCCCTCTCTCAGCTTTCGAATGAGAGTTGCTTTTTCTGGATGCTTCCTTTGATCCCTGCTTTCCCCTCCACTTGTCTTTGTTCTCTCCTCAGTTTACTTCCGTGTATAAGTCGCACCTCAATTTTTAGTCTAAAGATTTTAGACAAAAGTATAGTCTTATACACAGGAAAATACGGTAGACTGGTAGATAGATAGACAGACACATCAACTTAAGCTCCCTCAGTGGCCAAACTGTCCAGGGAAACTAAGAGAGCTGTCCTCCTGTATTCTGGGGTGTGATGGGGTGGAATGTAGACACCAAAAATGGATTCCTGATCCACAGAGGCTCCTTGTTACTACTCTAGAGCAGCCAGGAATTCTGACTTACGCCAACCCTTCTGAGAGTCTTCCAGGTAGAGGATATTCCAAAGTGGCTTTCCCATTCTCCTTTTCTGGGGTTGCCCTGGGACGACGGTGCCGTTTGCCCACAGCCCCATAGCTCTACGGGCAGGAGGGCCCAGTGAGGGGAATTGAACTCCCAACCCCTGGCACTGTAGCCGGAGACCTTAACCCCTGAGTTCTCCAGCCAGCTCTACACAGAAAGCTTTTTGTCCCTGACTGGGACCCAGCTGTGTTTGGAAAGGTGTTGGTCTCCTTGGCCGGGGGGGGGGGAAGTGTGTGAGCCTGTTGCCACCCCCCTTTGAATAAAGGTAAAGAAAAGGCAAAGCAAGGGCAGGCTCCCTACCGGGACCGAGGGCAGGGGACGGGCATGAGGGGGGTTTCGGCCCCCATCCTGCGGACCAGCCTTTCAGCAGAAGGAAGAGGCTGAGGCCGTGGGGCTCCCGGCTCCCCCGGGCGGGCACTCACTTGCTGGCCCGCACGACCTCGGCGGCCGAGTGGTTGATGGTGAGTTCGCCCAAGGGGATGCGCCGCTCTTCCACCTCGGAGGCGATGAAGGTCTCCTTGTCCCCGCTCTCCACCTTGATGAGGCGGATCTTCAGCTCCTTCGGGGGCCCTTCGGTGAAGGATCGCAGCTTCAGGAGGTCGGCCGAGCACACGACGGTGGTGGGGGTGGGGGCGCCGGGGCCGACG